AATTCCCGTTTAAAAAAGTATAACAACGACTACACGATCTACATGCCTTATTTTTTCTGGCTTCAGGAGGTAGAAGTGAAATTGGCAAATGTGTCTTGATAACTCTGGGAGAAGGTAAGCTTTCCAGGTGAGGAACCATGTTCCCGGGTTTCTGGAAGTACTTGTCTGCCTCCTCGATGGTGTCAAATGGAATGGCTAGCTGCGACAGATCTGGAAGTCCATCTGGAGGCACGAGGCAGTCCCACCTGTAAATCAATGCAAATCCAAAAGTGAAAAAATATATATGAATTTAGGGGGTGGGATGGTCTACAGACCCTTCTACGACCATGCGACAGATCTGGAAGTCCATCTGGAGGCACGAGGCAGTCCCACCTGTAAATCAATGCAAATCCAAAAGTGAAAAATATATATATGAATTTAGGGGGTGGGATGGTCTACAGACCCTTCTACGACCTTGCATTGACAGGCTATGACAAGCTTCGTCAAGAGATCAATCACATCACCTTCGCTTCAACTGGAGGACTTGAAGCTACTGTAGTGGAATTCCTGCAAACATATCAATAGATTGCAGAAATAACTTACTCGTAGAATGGAGTTCGGAACCAGAGGGGCAACTTGCGTGCATCTTCTATCTCATCAATGTTGACTATACACCAGGTCAATTCTTGAGTCCATGTTGTTCCTGTTTATTAAGACATGCTCTCATAATGAAATCCCACTAGGTTATAAATTATGAAGTCATTGGACTGTCTTACATTACCCTAATCATTGATGGATGGGGAGAAGATGTGACTAAGGTCAGAGAAAAAAGAACATACTGATGTTAGTCTGCTCAACTTGAACTTCCCGCATGAAACATTTCTATCATTTAAATTTAGCGTCCATGTTATGCTGCGAAACATTGACCATGAGATAAAAAAGGCTAGTACTTGAAAACAACCTGTCAGATTCACATTTCGATATGAAATGTTTTCGTTTCCTATTTCTGATAAACATGATGAGACGATTCCAGATTTTTTCCACTTTGAATGAAAAGTGCCTTTGTCCTTTTAATGCTGGCCCCTTTGTCAAAACATCAATTGGCGGCTGAACTCATGGCGTCAAAGTGCATACGATGCGGATTTTTTTATTATTGGAATGGGATTTTTTGCTAAATACGATGGTTTTGAAGTGTTCTTGAGACCATGGGCGTGGTCAGACTGGCGACGCTATTGGAAGACGAAGGCTATCCTGAAATTCATCTGAGGTTGATTTCACGCTAATGCCAAATATTTTGAAGCAGACAGCTAAGGTTCCTTTGTTACTCATATACGTCCTGATCAGTTGACGATCGATTTTCAATCACTTAAAGACATTTAGCGAAGTCCTCGTGTTGTCGTTTGACCAGAAAGTTACATTTAATATAAATAATTTTATTATAAGTTGTTATTGGAAAGCAGTTTGTAAAGTAACTTAAAGACTGCAACTGAAATTCATGGTTATTCCCCCATCAACGAGCAGGAGTAATCCTCAAAATTCACTTGAAATGGTATATCATCACTCATTCATCACGAACAGAAAATAATATAATTTCATTTCTAAAAATTCATAAGCAGCATACGTAATATGTTTGGAGAATATTTCTATGTGCTGGCACCTTCCACACCAGAAACTCCTTAAAAGAAACACATGTTGATTTTTGCGACTAACCTGATCGGGGAAACGTGACTATCCAGATGTCATCCTCTCGAGGTTTGAATGTGTTGGTCTTCTGGAATTCCGAATAGAATGAAGGCATGATGTAGCCATCCGGTATGGATTTTATGAATTTCCGGAACCAAAGATGTTGACTTTCCATTTTTCTGACGATTGGTTCATTCTGGTCGAGGGCTTCAAACGGAACAGTAGGCATGTTTCTTGCGCCACCCTTGTCTGTGAATGACATGCAAATCCTTGGGATTCGTAATTGTCTTTTAGAGTTCTCTATGAAGTGTAAAAAAAATCGCTTGAAGCTACAATTGAACCCCTTCAGCACTATAATTCATATAAGAAAGTGACAATTGACGAGGTCTGCACATGTATTCGCACATATTTTTCCGATCATTATAATTATATTCCTTGATTTGGACATTCCTCGGGAAAAAGGGTTCGATTCAAACAAGCACACTTAACACATTCACAATTCCAACTTTGGATAGATGAGGTTCGCAAGTCCGCATGACGCACAAAATGCGTGTAGTTGCAGCGAGAAACTGTCACATGCCACTATCTTGCTTTGCGTCCGATCACTGTCGACATACTTTAGTTAGACTGGAATAGACATCATCTGTACAAAGAAAGCGATCACGCTCCTCTACCCTACGTTCATGGATTCAAAAGACTACGTCGCATGTGCTTTTTGGGGTATTGGCCTCTCGCACTCGAGAAGCTGAGTGATGAGGGCGTCCTCGATTCGTTCCAAGGACGCCGCTGGCTCTGCGTCGTCCTTCTCGCCGAGGTGGCATTTCAAGTCATTCACACCGATGACGAAATGGATATATTTATGCAGATGCAATGCTGCGATGGGGAATCAATTCCATTTAATCGCTGCGTGTGGTTTTTTTTTGTGGTTTTCACATTCGTGAAAAAATTTCCCGTTTTGTGATTGCCTTACTGGGAAGGCCTTCGCCCTTCTGAACGGATGGCAAAGCCAGTTTAGATAAATGAATGCACGAAAAAGAAGTGGAATTACCCCAACCTTTCTTGAGACATGTTTTCATCCCCTAGCCGTTTACGAACGAAATTTCCCTTCAGCTTTCAAAGTTCAATTTCGAGATTTCCTTTCAAACTACGTTTCGTCTTTTAATCACTCCCGCGTGACTTTCCCCTAAGCTCCCTGTGAAAAAGAGTTAAATGTTCGGATCCCATCATTTTCCTTGCTTCCCAGGAAGCCTTTACCTGTTCCCGGCCGTGATACGCTTGCAGCCAACCATTCGTGCTCTGGAATTTAATTTCTGAGAAGCACACGGCACAGATGCACTTTTGTTCAACAGCCCTCTTGTTGATACCCTTAGTTTCTAAAGAGCAAGGTTTATTGCTTTTACTCAAGCAGGTTGGCTCGTTGCTGCGAACTGCAACCATGCTATTAATCCTTCCCTTAGTGCTAAATACAAGGATATTTCAGGCTTTTGCTATCGCTGCAAAGAAAAGAAAGGTTCAAATCCCTGTTGGGTTAGGGAACATATTTTAGGTTCACTCCTTAATTCCATTATAAACTATAAAATAATTAGAAGTGAATATAGAGGACGTCTTTTCGGGCAGTACACAACGTTGGGACCACGTTGGCACCGAGTGGACGGGTATGGTAGTGGGCTGCCTATGTAGCCCTAACTTCGTTGCTAGGGCGACAGCTAACGTTTACCCTATCTGTGGGCGTGTCATCTATCGCGGTTATTCGAACAAACACGGTTCTCATAAATGCAACGAGATCACACATAAATATCGAATATTTCAGTAGTGTCAGAGAGTGACTCGCTTCAAGTCCTCCGGTACTTTTAACATAGTACGTGATCTTTTTCCACTGACGAAGTTGGGATGACACTGGAATTCCTCAATGCATTCCTTTAAACGTATTAAAAACCTGGAAGGACTCCTCGAAATTGCAAACGAAGGGTGGTTCAACTAGGGTTCTCACTCCCTGTGACGATGGCAATCTGGATGTCGATCCCCCGATCGGGGAGGCAACGTCTGGCTCTTCTTCGGAGGATGCACAGGATGACCTCAAGTCAAGCATAATATGAGTAGTAACTGAATTTTTTTGTTGCAGGTAATTTACCGCTAAAATATCGCTTTAAAAGGATGTACGAGTGGAGGTAATCCTATTGTGTGATAGGGAAAACCAATGGATGAATCAAATGGATTTTTTCTCTAGGGGTTACTTTAAAGCTAAAGTGTCGGAAGTTCAGATACCAAACGTGCACACCTTAAAGAGTGTTGTGTTGTGAATGTGGCGTATCTGTGAATATGGATGAAGCTACGCTTCTCCGTGTGCAGGTTAATTTGTTAAAGCGTTTTCGCAAGTGAGTGGAATTGAAGGAAAACATTTTGAACAAATCATGTAATATGCCTATGATGCTCGACTTTATGGCCACCCCGTAGATTCAACTGTTAAATTTCAACGGAAGGATTCTACACAACAAGCGCTTCGAGAGCGGAAAACGATGAGATGCGTGAAGCACAATTAGGGTTACCTAGCTAGGACACGCTTTTCCCTTACGGAGTTTTCCTCCGTTAGCTCTCTCCATCGGGAGCGACCTCGGGTGGGTCGGTACGGTTCTCAGTGAGCCGCGGCTCCAGGGACCGTCGGAAGCACAAGAGAACTTCCAGACCCCTTTTAAGCGCCTGAGAGTCATGCCATGCATCAGCGTTCAACGTGAGCTCAACATGGGAATGAATCGTCCCGTAGCATGAGGTTGTGTCATGAACGTGCAGGTGGTCATGTTGAGGTGTGACGTTCCACACAAAAACTTTATGACAGTAGTAAGCATGGTCCATGGATTCAAGTCCGTAACTAAAGTGTTTTGATTTATACAATGTTTTTTTTTTGGATACAACTTTTCGAATCACCCTGTGCAATAATTCAGCAACTCTGGAAATGGTCTTGGCGTGTATGTGCTCCCACTTCTCCGGTGTTGAATCATTTATTTTCATGATGGTTTGACCCACGAATAAGACAATGCTTTTCACTTACGTGCAATTGAAAGCTATGCATGCATCGGCTTTGATTGGGAAAGACAACTTTAAATTCGATGAAAAACAGATTCAACTAATTTACGCGTAAATTACCCGCGACGGGTAAACTGATTTTTCCTCTGAATATATAAAATCCTGTTTCGAAATATCTTGAGAGAAACGTTGTCTTCCCACTGAGTTCATGCAAATATATATTATGACGCATATAAGAAAGAAATCGAATAGAGAAGCTGCTTTAAAGCCAGATTCTCTCTTGTCCACATTCACCACGGAATTGACTGCAAAGAAGATCATTTCTGCGTATCGTACAATTCCATTTCCTGGAAGTAATCCTGAATGTACTTGTCGATCTTCTCTATTTGTTCCTCGGTGAGCTCATTCCGCCAGCCGCCAACTTGACCGTCACGTATGAAAGGTTTAGTCGAATCTTCACCAAGCAGGTTTTTCCACCTGTAGTTATCTCCAGTCACGGGCGCCTTTTCCCTCATTCGTTCGATCGAAGCTTCTTCCTTCACGGCCTTCACCTGTTCCTGTGTGAGATCCTTCCCGAGGAACCGGGCTATCTTCTCGATCGCTTCGCCCACATTCTGTCGGTTAGGATGCGTAGCAATTACAAATACTCCAGCTTTTTCAAATGTTTAACTTTATAAAAGTAAGAGACGCTTAGTCATCGATGTATGGAGTCTTATATCATCTGTGATCCCTACTGACAACAACGGAGAGGCATATAGCGCAGAAATTTGCGATTATTCAAGGAAGAGGAAAGCACGCTCAACTTTTTCTTTAAAATGTCAACTTCATGAAAGTGAGAGACACTTAGTCGTGAGGTAGCGAGTCTTTAATTAACTGTGATCTCTAAAGTCGATAACGTAAAGGCATATAGCCCATAAATTCGTGATTCTTCAGAGAGGGAGAAGCAAGCTGGTTTCCTCGGACATACCTTTTTCAAGGATTCGAAAGTGAGGAAGCAGACATTCGGCTCGTTCCTCATTTCCCAGTGTTCTCGAACATGTTTCCAATGAGGACTCCACATGCCTGTGGGACGGAGATGGTGTTAATTCCTGATCGTAGACTGCGTGAAAAAAAATACTAAAATATAAAAGGCAACCTTTGCGAGAAGCTATGTAGGGAGCTCATGACAATCCCAATACTGTGCAAATGGTACAATGGACTCGAGCAAAGAAAATATAAAATTAGGTAGAATCGATCTTTTAAAGCAATAATCCGCTTTTTCCCACGTGTTTAATTAAGAAATTATTTGCGAGATGAACTCACCTGAAGCAAAATCAGGTATCTCCAAGTTTTCTATCATTAGGATTTTCAGGTGTTTGAAAATATTTCAAAGTACCACGACCCGAATGAGAACAGATGACAGTGCGAAGCTGATCCCATGTCGCGAGGGAGGGCTTCCTTTCGAAGGGCTATGAAGGGCCTCTCACCGATTCCTTGGAGGTGTTGTTCGATGAAGTCATTGATCGTTCCCACGAAATTCTCGAAACTGCAACTCAGATGGTAGTACGATACCCATGAGTCTTTCGGATTCCTTGCCACGTAGATTATCTAGAAATGCGAGAGAAAAATTGTCGTGTCTACAAACCAGAAGGTGATGAATTGAAATTCAAATCACAACCTGAACTGGAGAACTTGGAAAAAATTACTCCAATTTCCCTTCTCATATTTATCATCTACAGTATTCTTATGGAATTCACGGGATCATGGTCATGCTTCAAAGTTTTGCTTAAAAAATAGCTCAAGTCGCAATTGACAGTTGTCATACCGCTCTCGACATTGTTTAATCCTCGTTTGGAAAAGTTTTGCAACGACTACACGGTCCACATGCCTTATTTTTTCTGACTTCCGGTGGAAGAAGTGAAACTGGTAAATGCGTCTTGATGACCCTGGGAGAAGGTAAGCTTTCGAGGTGAGGAACCATGTTCCCGGGTTTCTGGAAGTGCTTGTCTGCCTCCTCGATGGTGTCAAATGGAGTGACCAGCTTCGACAGATCTGGAAGTCCATCTGGAGGTACCATGCAGTCCCACCTGCATGTCGATGCAAAACCAAGCGTGAGAGAACAAATTTTGAGTTCAGCTGTGGAGGATACGTTGCAGACCCTATTATGATCTTGTCGAAAAGTTTCGTCATGAGATCAGCCACATTGCCTACATTTGAACAGGAAGACTTGCAGTTGCATTGGTTGATTTTCTAATTAAATATATTTTTAACTTTGGAAAAACGACTTACTCGTAGAACGGAGTTCGGAACCAGAGGGGCAACTTGCGACGTAGAAGATAGGATAGTTACAACTGCTATGTGGTCCAGTTAAGAACTCAGGTACAACAGGGACAAATTCTGCTCGAAAGAAATTTATTACTTTATTTCATTATTTTATTTTATTTGTTTATTTATTTGTCACATTTAAATATTAGAATGTAACCGGACTGCCTTGTATTGTTGGAATCCTTGACCGATTGAAAAAAATGGGAAACTCCAGTCATAGAAACGTCCCTTGATCTTTTACATGTTCCAATTGGTACATATTAATAATTCAATGAGCACAAAGTACTGCATGCGAGTCTGCAATTTCGATTTCTATTGTAACTGTCCAATTAGGGCATATTCTCAAGAGAACCAGCTATTTTCCAAGTGGAAATTCTCCCTCATGTTTCTGAAGACACATACAAAAGTAATTAATTCTTTTTTATTAAACTTCCTAATCGCTTTAGAGCAGGATGGAGGGCCCAGGGGCCTGAAAGTAAAGGTTCAAAAAGGAGCAAAGTAGAAGTTCAAATTTAAGACTCTTTATTGAGCTACTGGTTTTTGCTTAGCGACTTTTTTATATCATACCACGAACCTGATCGGGGAAACGTGACGATCCAGATGTCGTCCTCTCGTGGTGTGAACGTGTTGGTCTTCTGGAATTCTCTGTAATATACAGGCAAGACGTAGCCATCCGTTATGGATTTAATGAATTTTTGGTACCAAAGCTGCTGACTTTCCATTTTTCTGACGATTGGGTCATTCTCGTCAAGAGGTTCAAAGGGAATGCTTGCCATGTTTCCTTCACTAAAGCAATAATCTGGAATTTGCAAACCATAACATAATGATAACATACGCCAACATCTCCAAGGAGTATTTTGCGGTATGTTAGCTCCTCATCGGATTCATAGATCTCAGAAATCGGTGATATGATGGAGTCTGCACACAGATCACACTCCTCCGTTGGTTTTCGCCGATTTCCGCATCGTTTTCACCAGTGTTATGGACTTTAGTTTTCAAAAGCAACCAGTTACGTTTCAGAGTTACACTCTGTAACATGTAACTCGTCGCAGGTACCGGTCACTTTCTGCGAAAAATATTCTTTACTCTCTCGATAAAAAAAAAAAGTTATTGTATTCTGCTGCAGGGACACGCATCCCTTTCAGTTGCACCGAGATAGTCTGACAGCAATTAAGTGGACACGAACTTGGCGTGAGATGGGAGAAAATCCAAAGCCCGTCTCTGAAATAATTTAATCCGAACTCAATCCGAATTCAATTTCGAACACGTGGCACGTGTTCGGATAACGGGATTGCGAATAGCTTCCGATAACGAGTTATGCAATCGTAACTTGTTCACCGAAATGGCTAAATTCTTGGAAATAATAACTCACATTTACTCATTAAAGAGAAAGGTAACGAATTTAAAGTAATGCATATTATTTAATGGCGTTGCTCCGTATCACTGGTCGTGGATTTTCACATGCCGAAGAAATGACATTTGGTTCCACAGAAACACGGCAACTAAAGACCAAAGTCGTTCTGATGAAGTGATTTAAAACTACGTCAAAATGCAGACAGATGAAGTTAGCGGGTTCACAATGATGAACAAGGACGAAGTTCCATTTAAAAAAATTTTTGAAATGCTTTTCTAGTTTCATAAGGCAGCAACGACAGCTGACCGCACCGCAAATGCCACACGAAAATAGCATAGAAGCCGCGAGAAAAGTGAAAAGGTCACTTGTCACACTCACACCAGAATCGCCTATGCCACTGCGTGATCTGGATTCCTTGAAGACAAGATACTCAGACACATCCACGTGCTACTGCGGTAAGATGAAATGCTAGCTCGTGAAGCATGCTCCGGACGAGGATGGGGCTTGTCGGCTCATTGCTCTATGCTTGCACCGGAGTTACCTTAGGTTCCTGCGGTGGCAGAGACTCTCGTTTCTCTTTCCATTCCAGCTCAGTCATTCCCCTCCGGCCATTCACCCTGCGAATAGGGACGGCAAAGAAACCCACATCAGACATGGATGGCATAAACATATGCAACCCTGCGATGGATTCGCGATGCAACTCCTGCGTGTGAAAATCCTACTTGGGAACATCCAGGACAAAATAATGTGGCCATCTTGCTACAGCCCTATTAATTCCGTGTTAGTGTGCCGCGATTATTTCCCCCTCATTCCCCATGAAAGCTAGAGGCGAAGTCAGCTCAATTCAATCGATCCCTACATGAAAATCGGTCAGACATGCTCAATCCTCCACAGAAAAAGAATTTTGTGCCACAGCCGGTTGCACGCGAAATGCCACTTCACCCTTCGGTTTCGATTTTTCGCTTCCGTTTTTTTTTCCACGCCTTATTCTTCGACACTCTGTGGAAAGCAGCAATATTCCAAACCTATTTGATCCTGACCTGTTTGGGAAAAGCTGCCCCTCGGCCTGAGATGCACGAAGGTGAGCCTTCCGCCTCGAAGGGAGGGAAGAGACTATTTATCTCTTCCCCTTACTTTTCTGCCTTTTCCTTTTTTCTAGAATGCATGTCTGACAAAATCCTCCAGATGAAAAATGAATGTCTGCAATTTGTGCCGGCCTGCAATCCATGCTCCTCTATCGTCCTGCCATTGCCAACCACGACATCAATTAGGCATTGAAGCATTGGCTCAAATGTTGACGAGCTTTTTTATTCATTTTTCTATGAAGCCCCATAATAAATGGATAAATATCCCCTTGTCTTGTTTTTACTTGTAGCACTTTGCGTCGTATTTAGCCTTGTGTAGCACTGGTACTTCTTGCCTTGCCTTATACCTTACTATTATGTCTCACCTCGTTTTCAGTCGGAACAGGAACTTTGGGGAGTTTAATTTTCCTTCCTGGTTGACATTTCACTAATGCCCACAGCTCTCAAAATTTATTGCGTTGATTGTTGCGGCTGTATGGACAACATTGCCGATTGCCCGGAATAAGGGAACAGGAACTTTGGGGAGTTTAATTTTCCTTCCTGGTTGACATTTCACTAATGCCCACAGCTCTCAAAATTTATTGCGTTGATTGTTGCGGCTGTATGGACAACATTGCCGATTGCCCGGAATGTCGCCATCACATCCGAAATCCAATATATCGGTAGTTTTGGACTACTTAGGTATCTCTCATGGTAATCATACTAGTTTGTCGTAAAGTGTTACCTGTTTTTGCGTAAATTTTCACAAACTCCACTCGATTTTTCTGCTTTATACAAGATTGTTGCATTATTTCACAACAGTCAGTGAAAAATTACTTCCAAATGTCGTCTGTCGATTTATGGCGAAATTGTGCTAACTCAGGCATGGATGCCACCAAAACGCACAAAATGCAACGGAAATAACACATTATCACAAAAGTTGCCAAACTTGTTTCAAGTTGTTCATTTCCAGCCAATTTCAGTAGACTCGGCGGGAGCTCTCTTCCCCCTTTACTTCAACTTAACGTACGGCTTAACTACTTTTTCTCCATGCCTTTGCACGATTGTAGTTCGTCAGTGTGACTCTTAATGTAAGGAGGTTTTCAGGATACAAAGGAGTGAAAACGGGGTGGGACATATAAAGGGAAGGATGCCCTGGATGAAAGAGATGGTTCATCGCAAACCTAGACAAGACAAGCGCGCAACAGGACAAAAAAAAATTCGTACCTTACTAATCCAAAACGTCACGACTTTGGATATACGTGGAGTGATCGAAAAGTTCTAGGCCTTATATACAGAAGAAAGTCTCTCCCTCAAAATTCCTTCGCTGTTTCTCAACACGGTCTCCTTTGAGTTCGATGCACTCAGTCAAGCGATATTAGAGTGCATTGATTCCTTACTGGAAAAATTATTCGTCATCTAAGCATCGGTTGACTGCTATCGTTAGCTCCTGATCACCTGCAAATCTCCTTCCATGGAATGAATCCTTCGGATTCAGAAACAGATGGTAGTCGGATGGGGCCAAGTCCGGAGAACAGGGTGGATGAGGGACCAATTCGAATCCGTATTTGAGCTGCAGCCATTGCAACAGCAGTATGGGCAGGGGCCATCGTCCCGCTGCAAAAGGACGCCAGGACGTAACTTGCCCCGGCGCTTCTCCTCGATCCAATCCCTCAATCTCCTCAGCAGATCAGCGTGATACACTCTCGTGACGATCCTTCCATGCTCCAGGTATTCAAGCATGAGCCTACCTTCAGCATCCCAGAAAATGGTAGTCGTGACATTCCTTGCTGAGGGGACTGCACGGAACTTCCAGTGCGGCGAAGAATCGTGATGGCGCCACTCTGTTCCGCTGTTTCGTTTCGGGATCATAATGGTGAATCCATGTCCCATCCCGGGATACAGATCTGAACAGAAATTCACTGGGATTCTGCTGAAAATTCCCCAAGAGCTCTCTCGAAGCTGTCCCTCGAAAACGCTTCTGACCCACTGTCAACATTATTGGTAACAATCATGTGCACACCTTCAAGGTGTGCGCATGATGCAATGAACTAATTTTCGTCGTTTAAGACTACTAAACTGATCTTTCCTATGGTTATATTATTTCCTGTTTTGAAATATATCTTCAGAGAAACGTTGTCTTCCCACAGAGTTCATGCAAATATTGATATATTATGAGCACAGCTAAAATGACACGTATAAGAAAGAAATTGAAAAGAGAAGCTCTCTTGAAGCCAGATTCTCTCTTGTCCACATTCACCACGGAATTGAATGTAAATAAGGTTCTATGAGATCATTTCTGCGTATCGTATAGTCCCATTTCCTCGAAGTAATCCTGAATGTACTTGTCGATCTTCTCTATTTGTTCCTCGGTGAGCTCATTCCGCCAGCCGCCAACTTGACCGTCACGTACGAAAGGTTTAGTCGAATCTTCACCAAGCAGGTTTTTCCACCTGTAGTTATCTCCAGTCACGGGCGCCTTTTCCCTCATTCGCTCGATCGAAGCTTCTTCCTTCACGGCCTTCAGCTGTTCCTGTGTGAGGTCCTTCCCGAGGAACCGGGCTATCTTCTCGATCGCCTCGTCCACATTCTGTCGGTTAGGATCCGTAGCACTTAGCTCCCGGAGAGGGAGAAGCAAATTGGTTTCCTCGGACATACCTTTTTCAAGGATTCGAAAGTGAGGAAGCAGACATTCGGCTCGTTCCTCATTTTCCAGTGTTCTCGGACATGTTTCCAATGAGGACTCCACATGCCTGTGGGACGGAGATGGCGTTAATTCTGATATAACTGCACAAAAAGAAACTAATATGTGACTAAAATTTAGAAGGCAACCTCTAAGAGAAGTGATGTAGGTACAATGGACTTCAACGAAGAAAATATAGGATAAGATAGAAATTATCTTTTAAATCAATTATCCGCTTCTCTCAAATTTTTAATTGATAAATTATTTGCGATACAAACTCACCTGGAACAAAATGAGATAGCTCCTGATACTATTATTAGGATTTGCAGAACCATGAAAATATTGTAATATACCCTAACTCGAAAGAGGACAGATATCCCTGTGAAGCTGACATCGAGGAGGAAGGTTTTTTTTCTGAAGGGCTATGAAGGCAATGGAAAACTTCAAACCTATTCCTTTGATGTGTTGCTCGATGAAATCATCCATTGTTCCAACGAAATTCTCGAAACTGCGATTCAGATGGTAGAAGGATACCCATGAGTCTTTCGGATTCCTTGCCACGTAGATTATCTAGAAATGCGAGAGAAACTTGTCATGTCTACAAGCCAGAAGGCGACAAATAGAAATTCAAATCACAACCTTAACTCAAGAACTTGGAGAGTATTACTTCCATTTATTTTACCATAATCAACACCTGTGCTCGAGGAATTCATGGGATCACGGACAGGCTTCAAAGTTAACGAAAATTTTTTCCAGAATTCAGCACTAACTGTCAACAGTATGGTGACAGCTACAACGAATTAGGAGCAAAATGCTAAATATTGACTAAGCTTATCGGTTGTATCTGTGTTATGTCATCATGGGGTTCAGCATTCTAAATATTTACACAAATACACCTGTATATTAACTTTATGCTCATCTTATTTATTGACAACCTCAATTAGACGAGCAAAGAACATTATTTTAAGTAAAAAAAAAATGTATACTATTTAAGAATTTGAGTTTTGCACAGTGTGAGTACATCCTGATAAAGATATTGATAAAGAGAGTTTAACTTAAAAGAGGGAATCCAAGCAATTTCTTCGCAATGACATTTCGCTGCACCTACAGGAAAAAGTTTCATGTTCAACAGTGAGCATTGACGATATTGCGTTTGAAATAATGCTAATTCCGGCGGACACTATGTACGTAGACTTGCTCTCACCCAACAGGGAGACCTCTCGATACCTTTTTTCACAATCAGAAAGAGGAAGAGCTCTTAGGGGTGTCGTATATCATACAAACCTATCGTAAAACGTATTTACTGACTTGGCCGTTAAAGTGCGATGCACTATGAACTTGAAGAACACTTCTGGTATGAATCCTTTTCAGGTACCTGTACTCGGTCCCTCTCGAACGCGCCGACATGTTGTCCATCGTCATGTCTTAATTGTAGCACTTCTAAGTAGCTTCAATACAAAAGAATCCCCAAGTAAGGCATGGAAATTACCGGACCTCGTCTAACTTTCACATTTCACACTTTCAATTACAGAGGCTCACAGATAACCCTAGATGGAAAAGACGTTCAGGTCTCTGTTTCTTTCTTACATCAGGTTTTCGGCCCCATCACTTGTGAAGCCTAAAAGGTGAAAGATTGGTAGGGTTACAGCATTTTTCAATTCTATCCGTGTAAGCTTCTAGTTTTAACCTTCTCAGCTTTGGAAGGAATGCCCACGCTTGCATTTGACTAGTACAACTATTCAACTTCCGCTAATGTGTTCCACTGCTTAAACAAATTCAAACTTTCTCAAACTTACAACTTCTAAAATGCTAATCATTCTACCCAAAGGCTTCAAGTGAAAAAGAGAAGCGTTCCAAAACAAAACGTTGGAACTAATATCATTTAGGTTCATCCTCCACATGATTGGAGATTACGACGCTTTAAAAATAAAACGTTTTATGCATTCAGTAGGAACACCTAAAAACGTGTCGGCTGCTGAAAAGTTTTGCTACGGCTACGCATTACATGCCTTATTCTTCCAGGCTTCAGGAGGCAGTAGTGAAACTGGCAAATGCGTCTTGATAACTCTGGGAGAAGGTAAGCTTTCGAGGTGAGGAACCATGTTCCCGGGTTTCTGGAAGTGCCTGTCTGCTTCCTCGATGGTGTCAAATGGAATAACCAGTTTCGACAGATCTGGAAGTCCATCTGGAGGTACCATGCAGTCCCACCTGTATATCGATGCAAAACCAAGCGTGAGAGAATAAAACTGAATCCAGGATGTTTAGCAGACATTTTAACGACCTTACGTTAACAGGTTATGACAGGTTTCGTCATGAGATCAGTCACAATCACCTATGTTTGAACGGGAAGACTTGCAGCGACAGGGGTGGAATTTTTTGCAAATATATCTATAGCTTGCTGAAAATTGCTTACTCGTAGAATGGAGTTCGGAACCAGAGGGGCAACTTGCGCGCATCCTCTATCTTATCAATGTTGACGATACACCAAGTCAATTCTTGAGTCCATGTTGTGCCTGTTTATTGAGGAAGGAAATTACGCCACTTTCGTAAAGTGCATATACAAGATCATGATGAGTGATTGGGGTGAGTCCTTCGTCAAGAAACGGAATGAAAGGAGGAAGAGAGAAGGGATGGGGTAGAAAAAGTTGATATGTCTCATCACCTATTTTTGCTTTTAATCAGAACAATTAAAATTCCTCATCCCATGTGAGTTTGCAATGGAGCATTTTTCATTATTGATTAATCGATTCATTGAAATGCAATTTTTCGATTAATTTCGTTAATCACTTGCCAGCCCCAGTAAAGCCCCAAATATATTCACTTGTAAGTACTATACCAATAATGCCAACCTATTTTACCGAAATCCCGACTCAGAAATAAGCTTACTCAAACTTACTCATACACAAAAGAACCGGCACGAAATATATGCGTATCCAAGCAGGGCTCGACCATGAAAGTGCAAGGCTAGCTAGGTAAGGCAAGGCAAGCTAGATAAGGGGCAGAGAGGCCAGACATACGACCTTGGGCTATCCTACATAGTACTTTCAAGCAAGAGCAAGTCTTCACGCGCACTCTTCAGCCTCAGGCTATATTCACCCTCCCTGTCCTTGTTAATAAACTGATCTATTATATTGTCTTAAATAATTTATACTGATCCGCTTTATATTTTGCTCACGTCGGTATAAATGCCTTAAATGAGGGGGAAGAGGAGGATGACCAAAACGGTTTACACAGCGACAGGCAGTCGGCCTCGTTTTCGACCTTGGTTCCCTCTCCTGGATAAAAAAAAAAANAATTCAAATCACAACCTTAACTCAAGAACTTGGAGAGTATTACTTCCATTTATTTTACCATAGTCAACACCTGTGCTCGAGGAATTCATGGGATCACGGGCAAGCTTCAAAGTTTTGCTTTTAAAAAAGGTCTTAAGTCGTGATTGACAGTTGTCATACCACTGTCGATGTTGCTTAATCCTCGTTTTACGATTTATAACTGATTCGAATAGCCAACATAGACACAATACAGTAGTACCCCATCAGCATTCTAAATATTTACACAAATATATTAACTTCATGCTTATCTTATTTGTTGACAACCTCAATTAGACGAGCAAAGAAGATTATTTTAAGTTTAAAAAAAAATGTATACTATTTAAGAATTTGAGTTTTGCACAGTGTGAGTACATCCTGATAAAGATATTGATAAAGAGAGTTTAACTTAAAAGAGGGAATCCAAGCAATTTCTTCACAATGACATTTCGCTGCACCTACAGGAAAAAGTTCCATGTTCAACAGTGAGCATTGACGATATTGCGTTTGAAATAATGCTAATTCCGGCGGACACTATGTACGTAGACTTGCTCTTACCCAACAGGGAGACCTCTCGATACCTTTCTTCACAATTAGAAAGAGGAAGAGCTCTTAGGGGTGTCGTATATCGTACAAACCTATCGTAAAACGTATTTACTGACTTGGCCGTTAAAGTGCGCTGCACTATATACTTGAAGAACACTTCTGGTATGAATCCTTTTCAGGTACCTGTACATCTTTCAGGTATATACTCGGTCCCTCTCGAACGCGCCAACATGTTGTCCATCTTCATGTCTTAATTGTAGCACTTCTAAGTAGCTTCAATACAAAAGAATCCCCAAGTAAGGCATGGAAATTACCGGACCTCGTCTAATTTTCACATTTCACACTTTCAATTACAGAGGCACACAGATAACCCTAGATGGAAGAGACGTTCAGGTCTCTGTTTCTCTCTTACCCCAGTTTTCGGCCCCATCACTTGTGAAGCCTAAAAGGTGAAAGATTGGTAGGGTTACAGCATTTTTCAATTCTATCCGTGTAAGCTTCTAGTTTTAACCTTCTCAGCTCTGGAAGGAATGCCCACGCTTGCATTTGACTAGTACAACTATTCCACTTCCGCTAATGTGTTCCACTGCTTAAACAAATTCAAACTTTCTCAAACTTACAACTTCTAAAATGCTAATCATTCTACCCAAAGGCCTCAAGTGAAAAAGAGAAGCGTTCCAAAACAAAACTTTGGAACTAATGTCATTTAGGTTCATCCTCCACATGATTGGAGATTACGACGCTTTTAAAATAAAACGTTTTATGCATTCAGTGGGAACACCTAAAAACGTGTCGGCTGCTGAAAAGTTTTGCTACGGCTACGCTTTACATGCCTTATTCTTCCGGGCTTCAGGAGGCAGTAGTGAAACTGGCAAATGCGTCTTGATAACTCTGGGAGAAGGTAAGCTTTCGAGGTGAGGAACCATGTTCCCGGGTTTCTGGAAGTGCTTGTCTGCCTCCTCGATGGTGTCAAATGGAATGACCAGTTTCGACAGATCTGGAAGTCCATCTGGAGGTACCATGCAGTCCCACCTGTATATCGATGCAAAACCAAGCGTGAGAGAATAAAACTGAATCCAGGATGTTGCAGACATTTTAACGACCTTACGTTGACAGGTTATGACAGGTTTCGTCATGAGATCAGTCACAATCACCCAAGCAGCATGTTTACGTAAATAAGGTATCAATTTATTGCAAACAATGTAAATTTCTTGCGATTGCCATGAAAATGACATCACGTTTACGTCAAATTTACGTCATTATTTAAATGACTTACTCGTAGAATGGAGTTCGGAACCAGAGGGGCAACTTGCGCGCATCCTCTATCTTATCAATGTTGACGATACACCAAGTCAATTCTTGAGTCCATGTTGTGCCTGTTTATTGAGGAAGGAAATTACGCCACTTTCGTAAAGTGCATATACAAGATCATGATGAGTGATTGGGGTGAGTCCTTCGTCAAGAAACGGAATGAAAGGAGGAAGAGAGAAGGGATGGGGTAGAAAAAGTTGATATGTCTCATCACCTATTTTTGCTTTTAATCAGAACAATTAAAATTCCTCATCCCATGTGAGTTTGCAATGGAGCATTTTTCATTATTGATTAATCGATTCATTGAAATGCAATTTTTCGATTAATTTCGTTAATCACTTGCCAGCCCCAGTAAAGCCCCAAATATATTCACTTGTAAGTACTATACCAATAATGCCAACCTATTTTACCGAAATCCCGACTCAGAAATACGCTTACTCAAACTTACTCATACACAAAAGAACCGGCACGAAACATATGCGTATCCAAGCAGGGCTCGACCATGAAAGTGCAAGGCTAGCTAGGTAAGGCAAGGCAAGCTAGATAAGGGGCAGAGAGGCCAGACATACGACCTTGGGCTATCCTACATAGTACTTTCAAGCAAGAGCAAGTCTTCACGCGCACTCTTCAGCCTCAGGCTATATTCACCCTCCCTGTCCTTGTTAATAAACTGTTCTATTATATTGTCTTAAATAATTTATACTGATCCGCTTTATATTTTGCTCACGTCGGTATAAATGCCTTAAATGAGGGGGAAGAGGAGGATGACCAAAACGGTTTACACAGCGACAGGCAGTCGGCCTTGTTTTCGACCTTGGTTCCCTCTCCTGGATAAAAAAAAAAACTGGCCCGCCTGCCGATCGGTGTCTAAGTGAGGCCCGCTTTTTTAAATCCGACTCTCCCCCTCATGTAACTCTCACTTTTTTCCCCACTCCACTCGAACCTTCAACGCAAAAAGTCGATTGTCGACCGGTTCCAGGCAGACAGATGTGATACCATGGCTTTCAGGAGGGCCTCGTCTCTCTGGGCCGTGCCTGTTTAATCCCCTTTCATTCAGGAATGGAGAGGAAATTCTCGTCGGACTTTTTTCTTATCGATGAAAGCATTCACGGAAAAAGTATTATTCCTGGAAGTTCCTTTTTCAAGGAGAAAAGCATTTCTCGAGAAGGCAGCACAGATGAAAATCTCCGGGAGGAAACCCCCAAAGGAATACCGCTGCGGAAATATGTATTATTTTGTTTTGTATAATTTAAAGGATTAGCGAATTCTCCTTCCAACTCCCGGCCCCGGACTTTCACTTCCAAGTTTTTCCTCGTTTCATCTTGAAAATCTGAGAAATGACCAATACCGATTTTTGCTTAGCTTCTTTGTTTTCATACCATGACACTCACCTGATCGGGGAAACGTGACGATCCAAATGTCATCTTCTCGTGGTGTGAACGTGTTGGTCTTCTGGAATTCCCTGTAATATGCAGGCAAGACGTAGCCATCTGGTATAGATTTTATGTATTTCTGGAACCAAAGCTGCTGACTTTCCATTTTTCTGACGATTGGGTCATTCTCGTCAAGAGGTTCAAAGGGAATGCTTGCCATGTTTCCTTCACTAAAGCAATAATCTGGAATTTGCAAATCATAACATAATGATAATAATATTCGCCAACATCTCCAAAGAGTGTTTCATGGTCTGTAGGCTCGTGCGAAGGGGAACCTCGTCAGATTCATAGATGATCGCAGGAAGCAGCGATTTGGTTAGGCCTACTCGCAATTCACTCTCCTGGTTTTCATGGATTTCCGCATCGTTTCCAGCAGTGTTAGGGCCTTTACTTTTCAAAATCAACCAGTTTCAGAGTCACATTTTATAATATATAACTCGTCACAGTTACAGGTCACTTTCTGGGAAAAGTATTACTCTTTACTTTTTCGATTAAAAAAATAATAATGCTGCAGGGACACGCATCCCTTTCAGATGCAACGAGATAGTCTCGTAGCATTTAAGTTAACATGAACTTGGAGTGAGACAGGAGGAAATTCATTGTCCGTCGCTGAGATAATTCAATCATTCGCATTGCACGTGTTCATCGTACGTGAGCACGTGCAATGCGAATGCTTCTGGTAACGAGTTAGTTCGTAACTTATTATTCGAAATCCTTACATTCTTGGAAATAATAAGTTACAGTTACTCGTTAAAGGGAAAGGAAATGAATGAAAGTAATGCCCATTATTGAGTCGTGTAGCACGGTATCACTGGTCTTACATGGATTTTCGCATGCCTTGGAAATGACATTGGGTTCACGCAAACACGTCGACTAAAAGATTAAAGGCGCTATGATTACGTAATTGAAAACACGTCGAAGTGCGGACACATGAGATTCGCGGGTCCGCAATAACAAACAAGCAAAAATACGAATAGTATAGCCGCAGCTAGATAAGTCAAAAGATGACTTATCGCATTCACACAAGAATCGCCCGTGCATTTGCTTGACCTGCATGCCTGGAAGACAGGATAGGACACACGCAAGATGCACGATCACGCCATTCTACTTTACGATCACAAATTCAGAATATCCCGTCGCGCACGCTATGCAGTCTTGCACTGAACAGCCGAGTAACGAGATACGAACGTGGCCTCAATGGAATCCAAGGACGCCACCGTCTCTGCCCTTTTTCTCTCACCATACCAGCTCAGCCATTCCCCTCCGGCTATTCACTCTACTCACAGAGGAGGCATAGATACCCACATTAGGAATGGATAGGTATGTGCTTATCCCTGCAATGAGCGTGCATTTGTAATACAACCGCTGCGTGTAAAAATCCCCTGCGTGAACATCCAGGACAAAATAACGAGGACATCTTGCTGTAGCTGCATTAATTTTGCTCTCAGTGTCTCAATGCTGATTATTTCCCCATATTCCCTCATTCCCCATGAAAGCTGAAGGTGAAGTCAGCTCAATATAATCGATGCCTATACTAAAATCAGTCAGACGAGACCAAGCTTCCGCAGAAAACGTTTTTGAATCAAGTCCTTTTCACGCTAAATGCCATTTCCCCATTCGGCTTCCGTGTCTTTTTATGCCCTTCAACACTCGTGGAAAGTAGTAATATACAAAAACCAACTAAATCCTGAAGTGTTTGGGAAAAGCTTCCCCCTGCCTGAGATGCGTGAGCATTCCCCCTGGAGGCATTGCCCAGACCCGGGTGGGGGGAGACTGCTTTATCTCTTTCCTTTAATTTACTGTCTCTTTCTTTATTCCGGACCGCATATATGACTAAGTCCTCTGGATGAAAAAACAGTCTGCAATCCATGCTCCTCTATCACCCCTGCCATTGCTAACCACGACACCAAATAGGCATTATAGCATTGGCTGAAATGCTGGAGACCTTTCTTATTCATATTTCACTGAAGCCCCATAATTTTACCTATTTACAGCGGAACGGAATGAATTTTTCTGTGAACGGATAAGAACAATATTGAACATCATGGAACGCGACAGAAATCAGAACACATGGCGACCAGGAAGAACAAAATGGAACATGGAGCAGTAATACGAGGGGTGTTCGAAAAGTAATAGGAATTTATTTATTAAACAAGAACGATTAGACCTAAGGTAACAAGAGTCAGCCCATACGTAGGCCAACATGTAAGCATTAGGACCTGTCAATGCCATTCAATACACTCAGTCCATTCTCGAGTTATAGGCCGTGCTGTCCCTTGCTATTTTTCTATTATGGAAGACGCGGTGAAAAATCAAAGGTCAATAATGTTCTTTTTGTGGAAGGAAGGAGTCAAAACTGTTGATATTGTCAAGCGCTTGCAGTGTGTTTTCGGAGATGCTGCTGACTCAAAAANATTTAAGTGAAAGAGTATCTGTTGCTCCCAGAGAGCAACCCATTGTGTTGTTATGAGGTAATTCATGTGTTGGTTGGGAAAATTTTAAAAATAAAACTTTAGTACGTGTAGTATCAAACTTACCGCATAAAGTTTGTGATGTTTAAATATGGCATTTTATAGCTTCACTTTACATGCATGTGTCCTGCATGTCCAAGATGCGACAAAACGACCACATTACCATCCCAGATCGAACGTAGCTCTCCTTACCTCTGACCATTTCACACTCACAAGGCCTGCCTAGCTTGTACTTCCGCCTCCGCTGGAGCCATTACCGTTCGTAGCAAAATGCTCCATGTGGTGTCATGGTGGAATAGGTGCGTTTCTCCCGGGTTTCCGCGACTGCTTGGGCCGAAACGATGGACTGATAGTATCCTCTAAGCAAAGGTTTCCCCTTGAATTTCCAGAGTGAACGTTTTATGAACATTTTTGGCGACACCAACTGCACCCTTCTCCCCCTAAAAAAATAAAACTTAATGCGGAGATTCATGTATGCTGCATCCTCCGGCGAACGATAATCGATTCCCTTTTTTTTTCACTATCCGTCTTCGTCATTTCCTTTTCCCATCCAGCTGTAATTTCTTTCATTAAACGTACAGCGCCGCGTTCGTGGAAGGATCTAAAAGTCTGAATTGGTTGGTAAAGACGAAGTCCTGCGAAAATTACGTATGAGTTTTGGGAATCTGAAAACAGTTTTCATTCGAAAAGCTGAAAAATTAACTACTTCAAGCATATAAATAAAGATTGCACTTCAGGGTGATTATATTGAAAAGTTAAGTGTAAATAATGATGAATAAATATGTTGATTGGGAAAAAATTCAAAATTCCTATTACTTTTCGAACACCCCTCGTACATTCCGTTTTAATGCTCTGGATGAAAGCGATGGTTGAACGCAAACCAGGACAAGGCAAGCGCGCAACAGGACAAAACAAAATTATTCGTACCTGGCTCATTTAAAATGTCACAATTTTGGATATAAATCCCAGCAGAGAGGGCATGCCCCTACCCTTCTCCGCGGTGGGGATATCGACCCAAAAACATTTTGAAACACATAATGTCGAAACAGTTTTGAATCAACATTGAATAAACGTTAAGAACGTTGATACAACATCAGTCCAACGTAGCCTTGTTTGCTGGGGAGTCACATCGCAGCATGCAGTCTCAACTGAGGGATTCCGTCATGTCTCCCACGGAGAAGTGGCACGAAGATGTCACCTCTGAAGCTCCGTCACATCGATTTCTTAAACCCCCCCCTTTCACCTCAAAATCAAAGACTAGCTGTTACCCTTTAAATATTCACGTCCTCCTAATTGAGATTATTCAACTTCCGTCCCGTAGCACTCAAATGAGGCACCGGAATTTTGAAAAGCCATACTTCAGATCAATAATGTTGATCTGCGTCCTGTCAGCACTCCCCCCCCCCCCCCCTTTATGAAAAAGTCCTTATTTTCACGGAGTTCTAAAAGTTTTCAGTTGAGAGACACCGTACGAATTTGGAACTTCGTAACGTTGGAACCAACTATTAGATGAAGAAAGGGGGATGCCTTGCGTCACGAAAGACCCCCAAATTGCTTCCCTAACAATGCTCAGCGAGCTCTGTCGCATAGTATCCTAAGGGAACGCAATTTGAATTCCAAGCAGTCACGCTTTGGTTCGCTATTAGGGGATGCGTTCCGTCGTGAGGGAACCAGAGAGATGCATGCTTTTCAAAGTCATTCCCAATTTTCCCGATAAGTCAAGGAAAACTTAATTCGAGTACCCTTTGTCGAGTCGATTTTTTCCTCGCGACACTGCAACCGAAAAAGTACCGAAATGAGAGGCGGCGAGAGCTGCCACATTCAGTCGCAATCAGAAATATTCACGATTAAGGAAAATCCGAACGAAATAGATTCCGAACGATCGGAAATGCAACCTTACTGATGAACGAAGAGGCATGGTGTTGCTACTTACGAATGTGAGTCCTGTCTTGAGCCTACACTCCCCCCCCCCCCCCCCCCCCCCCCCCCCCCCCCCCC